CTCTGACAAGAAAATAGTGGTTGTATCACTGGACGGCTGATTCTGGCTATCTTACTCTGATCATCCCAACGATTTATACTGCTCCCCAAGGGCAGAAAAAATGTCGCTTGGGGTAGTAACCTTTGAATTAATTGATCAAATTCCTTAGGCACTCGGCTGTTGATCTGTGTACCACTCCACGGCACCTTCCTCAGTCAGGCAAAATGCCTCAAGTTAAAACTTCATCTGAATATCTCATTAATAATCACTGTCATCTCAAAAGAACCATCTATCTGGACTTTTAGATAGCCATTGCGTTTTATCCACGGTTGAAGAACTGCACAAACACGATCAATTTCACAGGAAAACAGATCGGAAAGGCGGAATATATTTCGGAGGAGTGAGTTGGAGTCGCCACTCACAAGGAATCAGGGGAGGAGTGCTGCCACGTCCGCGCTCGCTCGCGTCTGCAGGGAAACTAACCGATTGACGCAGTGACGCTCCCTGGGTAGTCATGGTAGTGGGAGGGAATAAAGGGAAGGAGAGGGAGTGATGGAACAGGAATCGAGATAATTGTTGGAGGAAGGTGAAGGAAGGAAGTAGTTAGGAGAGACTATAGAGCAAGTGAGAAAGAGGGGCTGCAGTTTTATAAAGTTAGTGACGAATGGACTGAGAGAAGAAAATAAAGTTGAAGATAGTGGAAAAAGATAGACACGTAACATTTACGGAATGAACAAAAGCAGAAAAAGAAAAAGTCATTGCCTTAATAAAGAATAGCATTAAATTTTATTCTAAGCTTTGCTAGTCGAATTAATAATCATTTAGATTATTGTCTTGAATTGCTGCATTTGAATGACCCTTACGGATTTAGCGCTTAATTTTGGTTATAATTGAAGTATGTCAGTCGACGAAGAAGAGAGCCAGGTGGGTAAAGACATAAACGGAAGGATAAGGAAGGAGAGGAAGATTATGAGGAGGATCAGGCAAGATTACCAGAGCGAATAAAGGAAGGGGAAAAGTATAGAAGACAGGTAAGGGGAAGACGAGTGTGAATAGTCTCAAGAAGGGGAAATATGGCGAAGGAGGGGAAAGAAAATAGCGTGATAATGTAAACCACAGAGAATGTGGAGAGTTTCATTGTTTGTTAAGCGGGAGAGGAGAGTGTATGAGAGGAGGAGAGTGCATGAGAGGAGGAGAGTGCATGAGAGGAGGAGAGTGCATGAGAGGAGGAGAGTGCATGAGAGGAGGAGAGTGCATGAGAGGAGGAGAGTGCATGAGAGGAGGAGGAGAGTGCATGAGAGGAGGAGAGTGCATAAGAGGAGGAGAATGCATGAGCGGAGAAGACTGCAAGAGAGGAGGAGAGTGCATGAGAGGAGAAGAGTGAATGAGAGGAGGAGAGTGCACGGAAGGAGGAGAGTGCATGAGGGGAGAGTGCATGAAAGGAGGAGAATGCATGCGAGGAGAAGACTGCATGAGAGGAGAAGAGTGTATGAGAGGAGAAGACTGCATGAGAGGAGGAGAGTGCATGAGAAGAGGAGAGTGCATGAGAGGAGGAGAGTGCACGGAAGGAGGAGAGTGCATGAGGGGAGAGTGCATGAAAGGAGGAGAATGCATGCTAGGAGAAGACTGCATGAGAGGAGGAGAGTGCATGATAGGAGAAGAATGAATGAGAGGAGGAGAGTGCATGAGAGGAGGAAAGTGCATGAGAGGAGGAGAGTGCACGAAAGTTGGAGAGTGCATGAGAGGAGAAGAGGCATGAAAGGAGGAGAGTGCATGAGAGGAGAAGAGGGCATGAGAGGAGGAGAGGGCATGAGGGGAGAGTGCAAGAAAAGAGAGTGCACGAGAGGAGTAGAGTGCACGGGTGAGAACACAAGAGGATGCAAAGAGTACATACGATAAATTGTGCTAAATGAGGGAGTTTAGTGTAACGGATAATGAGTGCGGAAATTAGTTAAGCCTGCAAGGAGATGAGGAACAGCAGTGACGGTGGTGGTTGTGATGACGGTGTTGGTAGTGGTGACGGAGGTGGTTGTGGTAACGATGGTTATAGTGGTGTCGTTTGTGGTGATGGTCGTGGTGATGCTGGGGTGGTGGTGGTGGCGGCGGCTACGGCGGTGCTCGTCGTTGGTTGTAATAGTAGTAATTCTGGGGACATGGATGGGATGGTGAAGAGAGAATGTATAAAATTTATTCATCTAACTGATCAAAGTTGCGATAGTTCACTATTACATGTTTTTTTTTTCCCAGATTATACACCCAGTGCTTGACAGAGAAGGGTAAAAGGGTTGATTTGACAGGCACAGTTATTTACGTACACATGGAAACCTCGGTGAGGGGAGTAGGACGGAGAAGAGAGAATGAGGGGAGAGTGAAACTCGAAAGGGAGGTAGGGGAGGTGAGAATGAGAGGAAAAGAAGGTTGTGGTTGGGGGAGAAGGTTTAGAGGGAGGGGAAAGTGAGAGGAAAAGGAAAGGAGAGAAGGGAGAAGAGAAGGACACGAAATAGAGAAAAGTGGATGGAAGAAATGAAAAGGGAGGGGGAGTGAGGAGGGAAAGAGAAAGAAGGAGAAAAATGGAAGAGGGGAAGGCTGAGTATGAGACTATAGGAAGAGAAGGAAAACGAAGAGAATGAAGGTGATGAATAGTTAATGAAAGTGGGGAGAGAGGAATGGAAAAGTGAGAAAGAGAAGAGAGAAAATGGAAACAGGGGGAAAAAGATAATGAAAGAAATAGAAGAGTGAGAAAAAGAAGGAATAGAGAATGAAAAGGACATTGAAAAAAGGACGCAAAATAGCTTGGAAAGAAGAAAGGAAAATAGCAACGTGGAGGAAGAGGAAGAGGAGGAAAAAATATGGCCTAAATGGAAAACAAATATGAATTATGGGAAGAAAATATTATTGATATGCCTGAGGAAGCGCTAAACCCGTGGTGGTAATACAGCATCTGGGAGAATGGGAGGAAATCAAGTTTAATTCAAGGAAGATGAGGGTAGTTCCAGTTCCAGGGAGCAAGAACCCTTCACCCCCTACTGAAGAAGTCAGAGAGAAATTTGAACTACATCAAAGTTGGCAAGCAATACTGGTATGTTAACGGTATCTGTTAACGGAAAGCTATCTGTTTGAGAAATAATCGGCGACTCGGAGCATTAAACGTGCTGATGGTGACGATGATGATGAAAACTACGATGATCATAATGAGAGTGACAGTGATTTAAATATCAATAATGCGAAGCAGGATAATTTGTTATACATAACTTTCTTGAAACACTGGAGGTTGATGGAGATTGATGACATTCTGGAGACTAAATCACAGAGAGAGAGAGAGAGAGAGAGAGAGAGAGAGAGAGAGAGAGAGAGAGAGAGAGAAGAGTGCTGGGACCATTGTTATTGAATGTCTACTTCAACGACCTTCTTCATCTCATCCCAGAATCCAATGCATATGCAGACGACTGTACACTGACATTCACTTATACAAGAGAAGAAATGCCAGCTGCTCTAAGCTACATCAATCACCAGCTAAGAGCTGTATCAGCTTGGGGAAATAGATGGCATGTAACATTTGCACCTGAGAAAACGCAAATGATGATGGTCTCTAGGCACCATGATGGTAATGCTGGTGCAGTAGTAAGGATGAATGAGAGGGTGTTGGCACCTGGAGAAGAAGTTGATATCCTTGGGGTGAAATTTGACTCCAAACTAACCATGAAGAATCATGTTGTAAATCTTGTAAACAAGGCAGCCAGGAAGCTTACAGCACTTCGCCGTATCTCGCATCTGCTTGACAGTTGGGGTTGCAAGATTCTGTACGAGGCATAAGTACGCTCACACCTTGAGTATGCTCCACTTTCTTGGTTTGCCTGCCCCCCCCCTCTCATCTGCGACTGCTTGACAGAGTAGAGAACAAAGCAAGACGTCTCATCTCTCGCCTGGACCTATCCTGGATAGATCGGTCATTTCAGCAGAGCCTTCAAGACAGGAGGGATGTGGGTGGCCTTACTGTCATGTACAAGGCCAATATTGACAAAGTACCACACTTGGATCCACTTCGAGGACAGCGTGAAACGAGCTTTTATGTCACAACACGGGCAGAAAGCAGCAACTTCACTCTGGCTGTACCCTTCTCCAGAACATCACTCCATCTGAGATCATATATACCCAGGATGACTCGAGTATGGAACGCATTCGTACAGCATAATGATATAAACGAGATAAAGTCAGTTGATCAAATGAAAATGCTGGCCCACAGATGGCTCCAACTTCATCCTGTTCCCTACTTGTATGTCTCATAACAATAAAAATGCTTTCAAATGAGGTGATGTAGGTAACAGCTCTTAGCTTGCCAATAAAGTTAGGAATCCTTAACCTGTAAATAGCTTGTCAATAAAGCTAGGGATCCTTAACCTAACCTTGTCAAACCCTGTGTAAAAAAAAAAAAAATAAAAAAGAGAGAGAGAGAATAGAATGACACAAAAGAGTGAGATAGAATGACAAAAACACAGTCGGGGAACAAACTTAAAACTAAAAAGTACTACCCCAAAAAGGCTCATAGCACTAATGGAACTCAGTTCCTAAAAGCCGGGAAACTATTTGAAAACTCGCAGAATATGTTGCCGAAGGTCGAGGCATCACGGATGGAAGAGCCACTTCAGATGGGGGGAAAGTAATCACAAATCTAAATTATAAGAAAGAAGAAGAAAGAAAAAATCTAACTAAAGACATGATAAGCAGAAATATACCGGCGATTAATTTTGGCAAATGAACCGTCATCATCATTATCATCATCATCAATCATCATCAAATATCGTTATTATTATTATTTTAACCGGAAATCTGTCAGCTACTCCAGTCAAACATTCTCCCGGAAGTTACTGGCCGAAATTCGCCTCCACCCTCACTCCCCCCCCCCACAACAAATCACATTCATACGAACATTCTTTGTAGATAAGCGAACACGTTCGGAACGTTCCGAATATATTATTTAGGCTGCTTTTCGCACGCCCCCTGATGGTGAGAGAAAAATGTTGACTAAATGATTCAAAACATTGTGAATGTATCCATTTATCTACAAAAATGTAATTGACATTACTCATATGTGGTGGTCTGTCTGTAGCTTCTCAGAGAAATTTTAACTGTATTAATATTGGCAGAATCACCGACAATAAGTTAAGTAAAAGGATACAAATACAACTAACGGCTTGATAAAGCTCTTGGAGAGCGAAACGTTGCAACAGTAATATGTCACATTAGTTACATTTGTTTCCTTTTACTTAACAAATTTTAATTGAATGTTTGATGATAATAGTGATGATTGCGCTGTGAATGTAACTGTAATAATAATAATAAATAATAATAATAATAATAATAATAATAATAATAATAATAATAATAATAATAGTAATAATAATAATAATAATAATAATATAATAATAATAATAATAATAATAATAATAATAATAATAATAAT